TTAAACCGATTACTTGTTGCATACTGCACTGTGAGGTAGCCCGTCGAGACCTAGGCAAAACCAAAATCCGGGTTTCCGGAGCCCGATGGTTCGGAAACGGGCAAATCATTCTATCCGACAAGACTACTGTACCGTTCTAGCTCCCGTGGTGAGCGGTACCATAATGACCAGATAGGGCTGCGTTGTGTTTGACTGACACAGAAATTGCCCGCTGGTGCTCGGAGGTCATTTGTGACACAAAATGCCCAATCAGTCCGACAGGTTCACCCCGCGCAGCAAGACTCTGATCCCCCAATCCTGCTTTGCCTTGGGCGCAGCATGATTCGGCCCCATGCTAAAGAGGGATTGACCAGGCTGGACGCGACCATGCGTCTTTCAGAGTGTGATGATCGCATTCTGAGGTGCCTGATCGCGGTCGATGGGAGACCCAGTGGGGGAGCTGGATGACCTGCAGACCAGGGCTAGGGCAAATGAAGCGGGTCACACAAGGGAAAAGAAAAACCTGAGGGAGTGGGGAAAGTGAGGGATATGAGGTAAAGGCAAGGAATGGTGAAGATATGGTCGAAAGATGGCGAGAGATGGGAAACGATGATAAAGGAATCACCGGGTAGACACGGTCAAATATTTGCGATACCGCCTCCGGGAACGGGATGCGCAATCTGTGCGGGTATTAGTCTATTCAGATGCCCAGGCGGGCGCGTCACTTCACCGCCTTCTGGTCGGTCCCTCTAATTGATTGTTGTTGTCCTGGGTCATCAACATTTGCTGGTGCTCAGGTAGGCCCGGGACTAGTCCTTATGAGGAAGCTGTCCTGGGGATCAATTGGAAGCCCGCCGGGGGAAACCGAATGCGCACCGAAGGAATATTATGCCCTCGGGTTTCGACCTTTGGGCGTAGGACGTAAGGCAACGAGATCAACACATGAGTGTACTAGCATTTGAATATACTATTACCCTAAGTCACTACAAAGATGAGCCTCGTCGCTCGCGATTGATAATCATGCGGATCAATGGTCTATATTTTTCGTATATAAATGGTCAATGATATATATAATATAACAACCACTAGCTACTCCAGCGTGTCTAGCACAACCGGCATTTGGTAACTCCACGAGACACATACAAAATCAACAGGCGCGCCAAGATTGAATATGTTGCCAACTCTAAGGGATCGCTCATCAAAACCAGGCCAGCAGGTTGATAATTGGCTCAGCCTCCGATGCCTCCAATTTCAAAGGATTCAATGTCGAGCATGGCCTTGCTGGGCATTAATTTTTCCGGGCGGATATGACCAATGAGAATTCGTCCCGCCAGCAGCATTCCACCCCAACAACAAAACCTATTTCCAATTCAACCCTACCAAAAATGAGGTTGTCGGGATGTCGACCAAATTGACCAGAGTGCAAAAAGGTGGATATACTGATCGCATCTCACGCAACAGATCCTGGTCTCCTCTCAGAATGGTAGACGGTGTAGGTTGCACATCTGCCAAAGAACAAATTGGGCAACATATATGGTGAGCATGAGCTTCTTACTCGATTGTTCTTGGCGCCACTCCATCAAGGACAGTAGCTGGTGAAAGTATACAGAATTCTACCTCCAGATCCAGTCATGCTTCTTACCATAGTTATGACTGTATGGGCATTGTCTACTGTACCGCCATGGTGAACATACGAATGACCAAAGCGTTGAAAGAATACCGCGTCTTTTGAATTGACAGACCATAGATATTGGGATCTACCAAAGGGATTCGGAGGCGTGGGACGGTGGGATGGTATGGCAATGCAAGACGACGATGTATTTCTAGATGGAGTGGGCTAACCAATGCCAGGAACTCCGATCTAGCACATCAAGTTGCGAACCTACCGAACTTGCAGTGAGG